ACACCATACAAACCTAACGGTATCATTCACTACCTCCTCTGTCTGCCCTCTTAGCAATTCTTTTTGAACATAAATTTTGCTAAATTTATGTAAGAATACATCCATACAAGAGTTCTGATGATTTCAAAATTTTTTCCATATCTACTGAGTCTGCGATAACTTACACGAACCTTAGAGATCAAGCTGGTCCAGAGACGGACTGCTGCACAACCAAGGGTACAAATTGACTGTAGAAAAATTTTTGCTACTCAATCTTTGCAAAGAAGCCCTTAATAAACAAGCGTGGAAAGATGGGCGAGATTGATTTGAACAGAGATGACCTTGGTTTTCTACGGCGATACCTATTTACTTCCGCTTATATTAATAGCCGGTTTCACCGTGATTTCTGCAAAATCGCTCACACTTGCAGATATGTATGTTGCCGTATATTTACAAAGTTACGTATTTTCCAATAGAAAATTAAGTCTTTTCAATAGAGATCACTTAATTTTTTTGGACCTTGAATTCTACTCAACACAGAATTGGTCTGGCCTGTTAATCAATTTATCTTCTCTATATTTCAAAAAGGAATCCTGGATTTGTAATCATGATTTCGGTTACATTGCTGTAAGCATGAAGAGCGGATTAGCACTGCAAATATGTTTCTCATTCAAATTTTTATTAGCCATGAAGATCAGTTCTCGCCAATCCCTTTCTCATCTATGAAATCTCCTCCTCTGCTTATGAAGTTATCATCACATGACAATATAAGGTATTACAAAGTTGTGTAGTAGATGAAAACTGGAGCGGACTAGTTCTCGCCTAGATTGATAGCAGTTTCGATTTACTTCTATTATTATAGTTTGGCGGATTAAAGTGCTACAAGTTTTGTCATATGGAAAAAAGATTTATAGGTGCAAAGAGAAATCGCGTTAGAAGAGATGTAAATGCAAACTTACGCAAAAATCAACCAGCCTTTATGATTTCAGCTTTCATTTGTAACCAGCTGTTGTTGAAAGAAAACAAAATTGTTTTTATTGCTGTTCAGTGTCCAAAAATATCCTACAGCAGCCTTGATCATTGATATCGTACAGATCTCTCATCTTTTCCCCCCATATTTTCGCTTGCGCATTGGAGGGGGCGGTGCGTTGGTCAGGTGCCAATTGATGATCGCCGACGAAATCGTCGACGTTTTCTTGGACATACGCGCATTTCTCCAGTGTCTCATCGACAGGTTCAGCGGTCGGTGACCGTATACTCTGTCTGCGGCGTCTACTACCTCTTGCGCTGTATAATCTCTACCTAGGATACCCCTATAAAAGGCTAGAGGTCGTCGAATAACATTGTGGCAACGTGTGTTGTATGCAACAAAATGACCGTTCCCACCTCATTCAACACTAACGAAAAAGCTCAAGATTCTGTGGAATCCGATGCGATTTGTGTGATCTCCGGTGCAAATGCACGACGAGTCGTCTATATGCTCTATGTCGTAGTTGTATTCACTGCAGCTGCCCTACTGTATCTGTTCCCAAGTACAGCGGTGATTTGCGGTTTTATGGTGATGATGCTGCTGATGCTCGCCTCACTTTATCCGCTGGTGAAATTCGCTATAAAAACCGAGGACAACGATTTGATTTGGGACAGCGAAGGATTGCACTGGTTCCGACAGAATGATGTTGTCGAACAGTACGGTAACTATGCTAATGATCTAGAGCAGTCCTTCAAAGTTACACCTGTAAGCTCGAACTATTACCTTAGCTATGCTTTTATTTGAGTCATACCAATTTTTACCTTAGACTGTTCGGCAGTCGAATACGTTCATGATCATCATATTTTATAACTTCTCTGAATTCATATTGGTAATTTTTCCAATCAATAATTCTGTATTCTCATTTGCGGGTTATGTATAGTGTAAATCCATTGCTTGTGGCAATATTGTACGTGTTCATACAATGAATGATCTTTTTGGATTGTTTGGTC